CATGTGATCGAGTCGAGCATTCATGCGATCAAGTTGAGCCTTCATGTGATCTTGTAACTCCAGATATTTCGAGCACAATTGCATTACCTTGGTCTCTTTGGACTTCATCTCAATTATTTGGTCAAGTGATTGACAATCTTGTTGAAACTCTTGGTACGGCAACTCTTGAGCTCGCCCTTGATACTTGTAATTGGGATCCATGATAAAGCAATTTTCCGCCTCATGAGATCCACCACATATCATGCACCGTGAGGGTTGTGGAGTAGGTGGTGTGCATCTTTGATAAGTAGCTTGACTCATGTTGGCACAAAATCCTTGAGTAGATTGTTGATGGATATGGTTGGTGGGGTTGAGCATGTAACAATTTTCCACAAAGTGATTCCCACCACAAAATGAGCACCATTGGGGTTGTGATGTTTGATATGAACTTTCTTGATAATATCCTTGACTAGAGTTGGCAAAATTTGAGAAAGGGAATTGTTGTTCCATTCCTCCATATTCTCGATTCATATTCCAACCCATCTCATAACCTTGAGAAGGAGGGTAAAACGGTGGCATGGTTCCTTGGAATGCATATCTATCCATAAACTAAATCACACTCAAAACAATGAACTTGTTATGGGTTAGCAAAACAAAATAAAATAAAAAATAAAAATGGACTAGTCTCCTAGAATAAAGATTTCACTAATGTTAATACTGGAAACACCACCTCCCCGGCAACGGCGCCAATTTGATGCGTAGTATATTTGCAAACAAATAATTCTCGGAGTACGAGTTATCGATCCACAGGGAAGTGGTTGTATCAAGCACTAGTTACTAACTTATTCATTAGAGCTAATCCTAACAATTACTTAGATGATTGATTGGCATAAAATAAATAAAAATAAAACAGAGGTTCAGGATTTTGAAAACAATTAGAGAGAAGTTGAGATTCATGGGATTCAAGTATTTAATCACCTAGTGCCAATTATCGTTTGCAATATTTAGTTTGGAATTAAGATTTGTGTGGTAATGCAAAGTGGAATCGAATTACTCCCGTAATCTCTATTCCTAGTGAATTTCCACTCCCATGGCTTAAACACCCAATAAGATCAAAGATCAGCATTCAATTATTCCTAATTACTACCATCTCCCGATTGGCAACAATCTAGAATAAACTTCCCCTAATAAGTTCCCCTTTCCCAAGGACCAACCATTAGGTGCAATCGTGTGTGCCCTAATTTATGCCCCAACTCCCATTGGTGACACAAACATGGCTATGAAGCTAGTAACTATGGCCATTAATTACAAGCATCAAACAATATTATCACGATTGCAACACAAGTATTAAACCCAAATAATAATATATTAAAGAAACTGAGAGCTCAGGCACATAGGTTCATAAACACTTTTACCCAAGAATCTCTAAAGAATTTAGCCAAGCATGACTAAATTATACATAGCAAATATAAATAAAGAATTACAAATATCAAAAGAGTACAAGAATTAACCAGACGATTTTCCCAAATCTCCCTAGTCTTCTTCTTGCTTTCCAAGACAACTTGTGGCTCTTGATTTCTCTCCTTCTTGTCTCCAAGAATCTCTGAATTCTCTCGGTCTCGGTCCTCCCATTAGGGTTGAGGAAGGAGGGATTTTATAGTGGGTACAAAGTTGAGATGAAATAGGAATCTTGTACCAAATTGGACTCAAATTCTAATTCATATATTTAAATAAAGAAATTGTCGTCTTTAATGATATTTATAATTTGGAAGATTCCTTGAATTGCTAACTTTTAATATGGAGATATGAGCCTTGAAATCCGCGCAATTGATATTAGGAAAAGAGATCTCGCACTTGTATTGAATTTTGCCCAGCTGCGCCACTTTAAGCGTCTGTTTTTTTATCCGCGCTACTTTAGGCGTCTGTTTTTATCCCAGAAACAGACGCATATTTGACGCGTCGAGACTTCCTGTGCGCGAATTGATTAGCTATTGGAAAATTTCGACGTGTCGAGCCCTTGGCTCGACACGTCGAATCCACTGGGCTCCGAACTCATCCAAAATTGCTCCAAACTCATCCTTGAACTCCCCTTGGTCATATCTTTGACCTAAAATGGTTCAAAAACACTAACAAACACCGTAAAATATTCAAAACAAGTGCGAACCATAATTAAATGATAATAGCAAGGAAAACATGTATTAAATAAGCAAAATTAAAGAACTTAGTTACTGGATGATTCAAAATAACCATAAAAACAAGCACAGATGTGATAACATCAACTTCTTAAAATATCTTAACACCTTAACACTGGTTCGCAAAAACTTGATGAGAGCTTAGAAGTTTTAAGAGCTTTTGCTTAGAGGATAGATCGAGTGAAAAGAACCAGCACCTTCTTAGTTGATGAAGGTGGGTTTATATAGGTGATGAAAATTCCATCCGTTGGAGGGAGATGAAATTTTCAAACCTAATATCCAGTGGGTAATGACCTGGGAGCTTCCCGCATTAAATGCTCCATTAATGGGTTTTGTACCTTGTAGCCGTTGATGGCATAGATAGGCTTAGGGTTTTGTCTTTTAGCTCTAGAATAATACAACTTCATTTAATGCTCCTTGGTATGCGTGTCCCATATGTTGAGGTCCTTTTTGTTCCTAGGATGTCGTCAAATCAGACAGTGAAGACATTCTTCTTGTTATTGAAGACGAAGAATGTCTTGAAGGATTGTCATAAATAAGACTGTCTCTTCGTGGTAGATGACAACTCCCGATTAACTTTCGTTGTGGATGCTTCATGCTTCGGGTCTTGAACCTTCTTTCGTCTTGATAGCCCTAACATCTAAGCATAACTCGTTTTCGTGTGTTTGACTAGCTTAACACGAATTACAGTGTGAGTTATGGCAACTCTCGTCTAGGACGAAAGTAGCGATTAACAAATAACAAAGGTTAGGGGTCTACATTCTAGGTTACATTGGTATCAACAAAGTCCTAATACAAGTGTTCTTAACACAAACAATTACACCAAGATTTTTTGTTCTAATTTTATTGGCTCTTATTAGATTTGTAGATAAAAGCATTAAATGCTCTCGAATAATTTAGGACACTAAATCCCCAAAATCAGTTGTTAATTAATTGTAGAAATAAAGGTCAAATAGGCCACTCAACTGCACACCAAATTTCAATTGGGCCATCGAACTAAAAAAAATGCAATTGGGTCCTTGAACAACGCAAACTCATGCAATTCAACCCAAAGTGATCTGTTTATTTGGAAACATGCTGACATGGCGGTTACCGAATATAATTTTTTTAATAATTTTAAATAAAGTAAAATTATTTTAAAAAAAAAAAAAAAAAAAAAAACCTCCGTCGTCTCCGGCGGAGACCGGAGATGGTTTTTTTTTTTTTTTTTTTTTTTTTTTTTTTTTTTTTTATAAATAAATTATTTTATTTAAAAGTATTAGAAAATATTTTTAAATTCGGTAACTGCCACTCTAGCATGATTCTAGATAAACAGGTCATTTTGGGTTGAATTACATGAATTTGCATTATTTAGAAACTCAATTGCATTTTTTTTAGTTGGTTGAATTACATGAATTTGCATTATTTAGGGACTCAATTGTATTTTTTTTTAGTTCGATAGCCTAATTATAATTTAGTGTGCAATTGAGTGGCATATTTGACCCTTATTCTCTAATTATATTATAAATTGATTGAATTCTAAACGCACTAAAATCTTTTTGAAATATAGTAACAAATTACGTACCTAGATTCCTGTAGACACTTAAATTTTGATAAATATTGATTATTTATCAATATTAGTAAACATCTAGAAAAATATTATTCAGGATCACAATAAAAATGTGCTCCTGAAAGTAAAAGCCCCTCCTCCATATTGATCATGCCTATTGATCCAAACCTCCTTTGAAGATCAAGTCATTTGAACCGGAGGCCCTTTAAGAAGAACAAGCTATATATACAAGCTCTTCTTTGAAGATTAAGCCACTTGAAACCCGGAGACCCTTCAATGGTGGAGTGTTCAAGGCATCAATTGAAGAATTAGAGGACCATCCAGAGACTTGTACCCACACCGCATTGATATTTGACATGTAATCCAGAATTTGGAACATAAATATATTTTATTCAATTTTATTTGTTCACAAATTGGCACGCCCAGTGGGACAACTCTGCCTCTTATCTCTTCGTAGGCACTTTCAACCGATATGGGGGAAAACCCTGTATGAAATTTAAAATGGAGGAAGCTAAATGATACTCCTTGGCACGAGTAAAAACGGCCTCATATCTTTTAAGGTTCCTTGGAACGAGTTTAAACGGCTTCAGATTCAGGCTTCTTGGCACGAGTAAAAACGGCCTCATAATATCTTTCAAGGCTCCTTGGCATGAGTTGAAACGGCCTTATATCTTTAATTGTAGTGTCGAGACTTTCTTGCCCTACATAATTTCGAGTGTTATATGCTCTCAAGTGGTGTATAAGCAAGTCTCGAGGGGGCATTTGTTGACACTTAAATTTTGATAAATATTGATTATTTATTTTTCAAGGCTCCTTGGCACGAATTGAAATATACTAATATTGATAAATAATTAATATTTATCAAAATTTAAGTGTCAACAATTCCTATTTACAAAAATAGGAAATTATGTCCTTGAAACATGAGTTCACTTTGCTGAGACTGACCACTTAGCCAAGGAGGAAAGCCATAAGCCTGCCTAGGCTACCCACCATAGAAGTCCTCATCCTCACCCATCACCATCATCTATTAAATATTCAATAGTAACATTGAATTTTACCTAATTTCAAAACGGAGCTAGGCATTGACGGATGCTTTTAAAAGAATTTCTCTGATCTAAGCCGTCCATTGCACTATTTATAAAATAGTAAAAGCACAATTAAAAAAACACGATACAATATCATTAAAAATGATTTATTTCTTCATAATAAGATAAAAATAAGTTACACTTCACGATGTAACTTAATGATACATTAGATGTCTTTCACACCACTCATCATTATGATGTGGAAGCATTTTTTGACTATAAATTTGCTTGTTGCAAAAGATTTACAACAATATATAATTCATAGTAAAATTTAAGCTGTGGGGTAAGAAGCCCTGGTGTTAATGCCACAAACTCCTCCTTCATTGATTCCTCTGACCATCTTCATATAACCATTCTCACCCCAACTGGTCCCCCATGAATTTTTCACCAACCAATAGTCCTCTCCATTATCGCTCGTCCCGTACCCAATGATCGTCACGGCGTGGTGGTATCCCGATCCGCAGTAGCCTTCGTCGCCGTCCACGCCGGTGAAAACTCCGGTTTTGTAGTGCTGGAACACTTCCGCGCCGATGGTGATTCCGACGGAGACAGGCTGGTTTGTGACGGCCGCCAGGAGAGCGGACTCGGTGGTGGCCACCTCTTGGTAGCCGGAAATGGTGGCCGCCGGGGTGCCGAGTTTTTGCCTGTTGCAGCTTTCCTGAGCGCCCTCGTAGGGGTAGTCGGACTCCGTCACGAGGCCGCCGTTTTCCTTTATGAATTCGAACGCCTCCGTTCGGATTCCGCTGCTGCAGCCGTTGCTGTTGACGTCGCAGTCGAGGAGTTGCTGCTCGGATAAGGAAATTAATTGGCCTGTTTTTATTTTGGTTATTCCTTCCACCGCCGCCACCACTGCAAACGCCCAGCAACAACCTGGTATAATCCATAACAAAACAAGAAAACCAATTATTGTTTTGTTTTGTTTTGTTTTTATCGTTAATAAAAGAAAATGACAAAACACTAAAGGACCACATATAAGTATATACAACCAATTAAAATACTAGAAGAAAAGTCAAATTTATGAAATTGTAAAATTCGTGTGTATTTATTTAATCGGTTGCTAAATATTTTGTTATTTTTTTTTGGTAATAAAATGGCATTTAAATATATCATGCATGTATTATGTAATAACTAATAAGTATACTATCCAAAGAAAATATCAATTTTTTTACTGTTCATAAATTATAGAAAAATAACATTTTCATTCTTCAATTATACCTATCACCATTTAAAAAAAAAAATTGTTTGGGAAGTAAAGTTTTTTTACCAAGTCTTAACAAAACTCATGAATAGAAAAAGTCACTTTGTAGACAATTGAAACATGAAAAGTAGGTGTAGATATAATTGATGGACAAAAAATTGATGGACAGGTCAGGCGATATAATTGAAGGATGAAAAGTATGTAATTGTTAATAGTTACCGCATTTTCCTTGGTCTTTGATATCTGTCACGACACCATGCTCTCTCCAGTCCAAAGAGTCTGGAGCTTGATCCAAACTCTTATTAAAAAAGTATGTTGGTTTTAATGTCTTAGGGCGTAGTGACTTCTCTTCATTAAGCATGGTGGTTTGAAACTCCTCCTTAGTAAGATCGGTAAATTTGTTAGTGCCCAGTTTGTAAGAACGATTGTCAGCCTTGTTAAAATCTTCAATAAACTTCACATTTTCCTTGAAAATATGGAATCGTTTTGCCTTCTCAGCCTCATCTTTATATGTACGTCCATGGAGAGTCATCCACCTCTCATGGCGCAAAAGTAAGGAGGTCTCTTCAAGAGTACGTGCAGTGGCTAGAGATTCACATGCCCCCAACAAGAAAAGGGCTGCGAGAACAACCAACTTGAAATGATAGTTGAAGGCCATAGGAGAGAGTGTATGTTATGGAATGAGTAATGTGTTTTGATCAATGGTGATGGATGAGAAGGCTCCCAATGAATTAGCTATTTATAAGGGAAGAAACCTTAAATTTCCTTGTAATTTTGAAAAGGAAAATACTACATGCATGTATTTCTATTCTCTACTCTCAATTTTTACTCCACACTTAAAATATTGATGTAGACACTTTTATAGGGACACACATGAAGAAAATAACCCATCAAAACCTGCCATATCAAGAAATAAATTTGAGTGAGTAAGATTTGAGACTACATGTAGTAGAACTCTTTTGAAAATTAATTCACAAAAATATTATATTCGGTGCTCCTTCAATTTTCCCTTATTTGATAGGTAGATAGTATTAAATACATTAAATAAATCTTTGGCAATTTTTCTTTTAAGCCCATGCCACTTTTCACCGACAGTTATGCCATAGATTCGGATCCACCTTGCAAGGTGGACCTGAATCAAAATACACAATTTATATACTGAAGTTCACAATTTATATACTGAATATTCACAATTCAAATTGTAAATATTTAGTATGTAAATTGTGAACATTTAGTATATAAAATTATGAACATTCAATATGTAAATTGTGAATAGTTAGTATATAAATTGTGTATTTTTTGACCCGGGTCCACCTTGTAATGATAATAGGAATTAGATACTTGGTAATGGTAATGTGTTTTAAGTAGAAGTTAAGGAGTCACTTTGTTTTATAGTAAATAGGAATTAGAATCAAAATAAATAAATAAAATAAAATAAAATAAAAATAAATAAATAAATAAATGAAAATATATAATAAAGATATATACACATATATATGTGTATATATATTAAAAATCTATATAATAAAAATTAAAAATTTATTTATTTTTCATTTTTTCTCCATTATTTTTAATTCAATTGTTCAAAAGTAGAGAAGTAAAATTATAATGAGTTTTATAATTACTAAAAGATTTGATTCCAATAATAAGTTAACTAAAATAGATAAATAAACGTGATAATAGGTATTAAAATCTATAATAGCGTGCAAAAATCCCAATCAAACACCACCTTAGTGTAATTTACACAATCCTTTAAAAATATTTCGCAGGAAAAACATTTAAATAATAAAACACCTTTGTCATGCTAACGTCAAAGATTCTTCGTCACCTCCATTACGTGTTAGATTCAAAATGACTACAAGTCTACAAGCTAAGTCAATGATATAAGTTCGTTTTTAAAATTTTTTTTTTTAATTTTTTTTATAAAAGTTATATATATATATATATATATATATATATATATATATATATATATATATATATATATATATATATATAACATTTCGGTTAACCGATAATTTCGAACCGAATTAACTGTTAACTAAAATTTTACAAATCCTTTAACCATTAAACAAATCGTAGTTTTTCGGTTAAAAAACGATTAACTGAAATTCTTCGGCTCGGTTAGTTAACCGAACTTTCACCGAAGTTTGAACTAGAGCTATTTTTATTGTCCCATTTTATCTATTATTTTTACTATTTATTAGTCAAATCAACTGTACTCCTTGTTTACTTATTTTTTAGTATTTTTAAATTTATTTTTTTGTTGTTTATTAATACTTTTAATGTTGTTTCTAAATATATAAATTTTTTATTCTAATATTAAACTTAACATTATGAAATATGTTGAATTAAAATAACGTCAATTAAGTCTTGTTAAACAAATCAAACACATACAATATGACTGACTGAGGGACTAAATATAAGTTACTAGGGTTCATCTTTTGAAAATTAAGGTAGCAGCAGTATTAAATACGAGTAACAACAAGTTGCATGAACCAATTGCAAGAGAATAGTGGGCAAAGACTTTGGTAGAATATAAGTCGTCGATGAGAGGACTAAATAGTGAATATTTCTGTCGGATTCTACGCTGCAAAATTGAATGCTTGATGTTACTTAAATTTTGCAGCATTTTCTTCAAAGAAAATAACGAATCATATAAATTTTTTTCTTTTTATAAAAAAAAAAAGAAAAATTTACTTCCAAAAATTTGGGGCCCTATGATGTCTCCTTGACAGCATATTGCCAATATAATGCTGGCCTATTCATGTTTGAGCGCCATGAAGCGCGAGATGAGATAATTAATTTTAGATTAAACTCCAAAAGGATAGAAAGTACAGTACAAATAGCTAAACAATTCTACGTAAACAAATTCTATCTAATAGGAAAATCACAAAAGACTAAGCCTATTACAAAGATTATTAAAAGCAACATAAAATGTGACAAAATAATATTCTGGCTAACACACCCCCTCAAGCTTAAGGGTGGTGCGCAACCACATTGAGCTTGTCCCGAAGAGCTGAAAACCGCGAATCCGGCAGCGGTTTGGTAAAAATATCTGCAAGCTGATCCTTAGTCGACACAAAATTGACGACTAGGTCCCCCGATGCTACTTTGTCTCGAACGAAGTGAAAATCTATTTCAACATGTTTAGTCCTAGCGTGGAAGACTGGATTCGCACACAAGTAGGTGGCACCTAAATTGTCACACCACAAAGTGGGGGGCTCACCAGTGTGAAGACCAAGCTCCTTGAGTAACGATACAACCCACGTAACTTCTGCAGCGACATCTGCAAGGGCCTTGTACTCAGCTTCAGTAGATGAACGGGCAACAGTCCGCTGTTTCCTGGAAAGCCATGAGATCAAATTTTTACCTAAGAACACTACGTACCCACCAGTGCTCTTTCTGTCAAGAGGACATCCTGCCCAATCGGAATCAGAGTAAGCATGAATAGTAGCGGAGTCAGAGACAGTGATACGAAAACCATAATCTAGAGTACCCTTAATGTATCTCAGTACCCTTTTAACTATGGCCCAATGATCAATAGTCGGAGAGTTCATGAACTGGCATAGACGATTCACTGCATATGAGAGATATGGCTTCGTAATAGTCAAATACTGCAGAGCCCCAACAACCCGACGGTATTGTGTCCGATTATCATGCGGAATGGTGGTAGATGAAACAGGCTGAGTAGCTGCTGCCGGAGTGGCTAGGGACTTGTAGTCCAGCATACCTGCCCGAGTCAAAATGTCATTCATGTACCGGCGTTGAGACAACATAAGACCGTCAGTAGTCTTTATAGTTTCAATGCCGAGAAATAACCCAGGTGAGCCCAGATCCCGTATCTTGAAGGTTGTGGATAGACGCTGAAGTAGAGAGCTAATGAGCGTGGGGTCATTACCCAACATGATGATGTCATCGACATACACTAGCAGGTATACACGAGAGGAGCCTGTTGAGTAATGAAAGAGAGAGACGTCTGTCTTAGAAGATGAAAACCCTGTAGTGAGTAAATAATCATGCAGGCGTTTGAACCATGCCCGTGGAGCTTGCTTGAGTCCATACAAAGACCGCTGTAAGTGGCACACATGGTCAGGATGAGTCGGGTCCTCATACCCTGGCGGTTGTTTCATATATACTATCTCTGCCAGATGCCCATTTAAGAAGGCATTGTGGACGTCGAGTTGCCTCAGATTCCAGTTATGTGAGATGGCTAGAGAAAATAGCATTCTGACTGTAGTCGGTTTGACTCCCGGACTAAATGTGTCAAAGAAGTCCTGCCAGCTACCTGATTGAACCCCTTCGCAACTAGGCGATCCTTGTACCGTTCCACGGAGCCATCTGCGGTCCTTTTGGTACGGAACACCCATTTGCACCCAATAATATTCATGTCCGGTTTAGGAGACACCAGAGTCCAAGTATTGTTATGTAAGAACGCATTGAACTCCTGGTCCATAGCATCACGCCACTCTGGGTGTCCGACTGCTTGTGAATAACAAGTGGGGTCAGCCGTTACAGTGAGAGCTTGAAAACTTTCACCAGTACCACGGGTCATATGCCTAAGTCAGACTGGACAGACTTGATAGAACGCGAAAATTGGCGTTCTACCATGACCCGAAGCGACTCAAAACATTTGTATATATCGGATTTTACCCGTAAGGGATAAAACCACGTAAAGCGTGAAAAATCATCCACAAAAAGCAGAAAGTAACAGTATCCACTAGTAGAGATTACATGAGTCGGACCCCATATGTCCGTGAAAATTAAATCTAATACAGTTGTACTAGAAGAGGGAACTCTACTTATAGGAAATCTAGCAGATTTTCCAAGCTGACAAGATGTGCATAATTCGGCCGGCTTTGTTTTATTTGGTGACACTGGACATAACTTGAGGACTTGATTCTGGACATGTGCATGGGGATGGCCCAACCTGCGATGCCAGACAACCGGAGTGGTACGAGATGTAAGAAACGCAAAGTGGGATTGATTAACAGGAAGCTTGTACAACCCGCCAACCGTAGGCCCTTTAAGCAGAACCGCCCGAGTTACCGAATCCTTCACAACGAAACAATCCTTGTGAAATTCAAAGAAAACATGATTATCATTTGTTAAATGATAAACAGATAATAACGGAACAGACAATTGGGGAACATATAACACATTTGACAGATTTAGTGTTTTAGAAACATTGGACACAGATGGTATAGAAGCATGACCAATTCGTGAGATCATAAAACCTGCGCCATTACCAACACGTAGGACATCACCACCATTATACTCGTTGGATTATGACATCATGGACACATCCGGTGTAGTGTGTGCCGTGGCTCCTGTGTCCAGGAACCAACCCGAGGCGGAGGTACTCGTCGCCGCATCATCACCCGGAACCGCCATGTTGGCCTGCGGTGCCGGTTGCGGAGCATACCTCTTAAAACAGTAAAGGGCGGTGTGCCCTTGTGCCCTACAAATATGGCACCGAGGTACGCTGCCTCCCCCTCTGCCGTTGCGACCACGGCCACCGCCTCCTCTGCCGTTGCCGCGACCTGGATGTCCAGAATTGCCTCGACCGGAGTACTGTCCGCCTGCACTGCTTCGTCCATCATTGCGACCCTGACCTGCATAGTAGGCTGTCGGATTTGCATGTTCTGGGGCCGCCGGATAGTCCTCGGCATGAAGAAATTCCTGCGCCCGTAGGTAA